AGCCAACTTATGAAAGCTTGGTCCTAGAAGGCAGCTTCTAAATAAAGAAATGAGCAAGAGACAAGTGTTGGCATGTCACAGTCTTCTCCATCCCGGTAACCTTCAGACATGTTGGACTACAGCTCCCATCATCCCAAATGCAACTGCCACTGGGCAGGGTGGCTGGGATTGATAGTTCTTTCCCCTAAAGTGCAGAGGGCAACAGATGGGGGGGGGGGGAGAGACTGCCTTACAACATCAGCCTGCTCCACAGAACTACCTCCCCAAACCCATCAGCTCAACCACCCTAGGCACCAAGTGTTCTGATTAGATGGAGCAAAGGAGGTGGGGTGGGAAAGTGAGCTGATTCTGCATGTCTTCATATGCAGGTTTGGCTTTTCCTTCACCCTAAATGTGATTCAGAGTGCAAAGTCAAGAAGTGGGGCATGCCCCATGTGTCTATAGATGGTTAGCTAACTTGAGTCTACATCCCATGTAGACTCAAGAGGGCATAAATCTCAGTGAACACTGTGGTACTTAAATCTGTGTAAACCTGAGTAGGTATAAACCTGAGTAGGCTCACGCTGCACCCATAATTTTAAATATACACCTCTTTTCCATGCAACTATCTGCCTCTGAAAAGCTGTGAATAGCATTATTATTAAAGAATAACAGACACACACACACACACACCCCCATCACAGAAAAGCAAGGCGACCAGCTTAAGAACAAAATATTCCTTTCAAAAATGGTAACTAAGGAAGGAGGGAGGAAGTACCTTCTTATCTTCCTCACAGTTGTAAAATAATGAAACACTTTTTCATACTGAAATGTTCCCAACATCTTGGCACCTCTTAGGATTTCTGCAGCAACAATTAGGATAGCACATGCCCTAGGCATCTCCCTCATGCGGACAAAAGGGATGAAAATCTGTCTTTTGAAGACAACTATTGTTGAACACACTCCCTTCCAACCCTTTTCCATGCCTTCTCGGTAAGACATTGCATAAAGTAACAATAGAGGTGAACTGTAGAGATAGACACTGGCCTACTCTGAAGAAAGGGGAACAGCAGTCAACTGAGAAAGTCAGTTATTTAAAAAGAAGCACGGGGGGGGGGGGGGGGGAGAGAGAGAGAGAGAGAGAGAGAATGAGAGGGAGAAGACAGAATTCTTTTTGAACAGCTTCCACTTGTTTTCATATCCCAAGCAAGGGCTGTCTACCATCTGCTCTTTATGGCCATTTTGACAATAATAGGAATTCATCATATATGCTCAACATTCCGAATGATGAAACATCCTCCTCCTCCACTCTCACTTAAGTGAATGCTCAAACCCAGAGCGTGAAAAAGCTGACAAGCCAATGCATACATTTTTGTCTTCAGAATTCAGCCTCTGTCTATTGTTTGGACATCAAAAAGAAAAGTCAGGCTATTCATTCATTTGTAGGTTCTGGCTTGTTGATTTTTAATGGGTTCTGGTTCAGGGATTGCTGCCATATTTGATTGAGATTCACTTTAGATTTAAAATCAGGAAAGCTAAAGCTACTAAACTGAGGTTCAGAAAGATAACCACTATTAAGTTATGCTAGTTTGTATACTAAACATTTATGTCAAGGGATGAATTCCCCACCTCTAGCTGCTCACCCACCATCCGCTTACTTGTCACTGCATTTTTAATCTGATGTCACAATGCAATCTAAATTCAGCCACATTTAGCAGTAGCTGCAAATAGGGAGGGTCATATTGGGTGGAAAAATGATCAAAATATGGGGTTTCAGTCTCTCATTTCCTTTGCAATGGGAACCTGTCCAAGGGGTGAAGTTGCTGGGAAAAATCAACTACTGCACTTAACTTTTTCTCTACGCATCAATATTCTCTTGCAACAACATGGTGGCTTTGAACAGTCTGTTTAGTTGTCCCCTCCCCCAACAGCCTGGGCTCTAAAAATTAGAATTGAATCACAATGGGAGAAGGGAGGATTTGCAGGGGAAAATCTTGATGTTTCCAGTGTTCTGGCCCTCTCTCTTTCTCTCACCTCTGTAAGTGTCCTTCCCAACCCACAAATTCCCATTATCTTAGCAAATGCAAAGTCAAAACAATGGGTTCATTGCAATTGAGTTCCACCCCCACAATCTTGGGACTGATGCTTTATAACTCCCCCACATTTGTCTCATGAATATGATCTTTTAAAATTCATTTGTTTAGTTATTTTCTATATGGATCCATATCTAAACAGATTCCAGAGCAGTGCACAGTATGAGATCAAAATAAAAGAATAAAAATAACACATTACAAAACATTTGAAAACAAAATAGCATTAAGATCATGGCTGGTTAGCAAGAATTTGTGCCAGAATAGGTATTACCAGCGGAAAAGAAAGCATTAAGTCTCGTGAAGGTGAGCTTAACTATGGTGCTTCAAGATTTCCCAAAGGTGGAAGGTCCATGGTTCTACTGGGAATGCTGAAAAGAAACACTGGATTTGAGGGTGCCCAGTTACTCAATGTTCCATACCAGGCTAGACACCTGAGCTTCCTTTTGTCTCCTCCAAAGCATAGAGAACCAAAATTTCCAAGGGAAAAACAGCATAGACTCATAGAACAGTAGAGTTGGAAAGGGTCAAGAAGGCCATCAGGTCCAACCCCCTGCTGTTGCAGGACACCACGTTATACCATCCCATTCAGATGGCTGTCCAGTTTCTTTTTGAATGTCCACGATCTCTCTAGGCAACTGGTTCCACTGTCATATTGCTGTGACAGTGAAGAAACGTCCTGATGTCCAGCCTGAACCTGAGTTGTCACAACTTGAACTGGTTATTTTGTGTCCTATATTCTGGTATCAACAAGAAGAAATCTTGATCTTCCTCTTTGTGACAACATTTGAGGTACTTACAGAGCGATATCATGTCCCCCCTCAGTCTTCTCAAGGCTGGACAAGCAGCTAAATACTCACTCCCCACCCACAGCTCCCCACTCTAAGTCCACTGCTCAGGCCTCTTTCACCAAGACAGGGTTTACTTACTATGGCTGCCATGCGATGCAGTTACATGAAGGAAAACATACAATTCCCTTAAATAACTGAAAACAAAAATGGGAAAAGAAGCTACAGATGGATGAGAATTTTGTTTCAATTTTGATTTTAAAACTTGGAAATTCTTATCAAGTTTTCCGTATTTGGAACCACCACCACCACCTTGTGATTTATTTATTTTTAAGATAAAACATGGAAGAATCTGAAGCTGGTGGATTCACCCATCCAGGCTCATGAATTGGATTGCTAAAAATCCAGTTCTGAATTCCTGTGTCTACACAATGTTTGTTGGGCTACATGAGTTAGCAGCCCTCTTTATTTTTCTGATGGGTTCCCATCTTTAACTGCTATATGGCAATTAGCAGGCACTATATGGTGACCTCCACTGATCAGCCGAGCTTAGCGTGGCAGGTGTAGATGGGCAAATGTTTTCTTCCTGTTCATTCTTTTAAGGATTTACTAAAATTCACAGGGTTCCTATCTGAAGGAGGTGCCAATTTAAAAAATTAAAATGCAGGGGCACATGACCCTGACAGATTACTCCATCCTTGAGTAAGCCTGTGCTTCGCTCTTGTAAATAAAACCTTCCTCCAGGAATGCCACAGTGTTTTCTACTGCCCAACCTACCTCTAAGGTTTGCAGCAAATAGGTTAATGCACCAGGAAACCTGACCCATGTTCACCACTGGACAGATCATTTGGCCTAAGCTATAGATAAAATGGTAGACACAGAGAGAATATACAGAAAGTACTGGCATGGGAGGTAGAACATGAAGGATGCTTGACTGCAGGTGTGGAGGATGCAGAGAATAAGCGGTGCAGAAAATATGAAGCAAATATTTTTTCTATATTAGAATGGCATAAGTAGGCAAGAAAACTATTTTATGGTTGCATAGAATAAGAAATATTGCATTAAGTGTGTTAATAATTACAAAGATGATTATGCAGTAAGCTAATTAAACTCTGAATACCTATCGGTAAATCCAACATTATTCTGATCTTATTAAATTAGGGCATTTTTAAAAACAAAATATTTGAAGCAGTAGAGCTTGACATTTGAGGAACTAAATACAGGATGTGAGATCAGGGAGTGGCTCAGAAGTTAATGGAGAAGTAATGGAGGGGGAAATCAGCTGTAATATTATTGCTTAAAGAAGCTGAAGAAAATGGGCTTTACTTATAGAATGTTGACATGCAATTCTGTCAGGTAATAGGTATTATCAAAAAGTAGCAGCACAAGGGTTGCAGTCATAAGAAATCTTCATAACGGATGCCCAAAACAAACAGTTTTGGACTGGTCAGCTAGATGCATATTCAGCTAGATTCATTATCACCATCTTCCTCTTCTTCTTCTTGAAGTATTTCAACATTAGTTTCAGAGGCAATACTTCCCATCCACTATCAAAAGTAGTGCTAGTGCACTTTGATTAAAAACAACCAAAATGCCACCTGAACAATGCATAGAAGCTTTACCACTTGTACAGCTTCACCATGAAAGATAATTTGTGGCAGTGAATTATCAAACTACTTGGTTAAAATTGCAGATAATCAGGAACTCTGGGGTGAAAGAGTGCCCTGTGATGTAAACTGGATGTCTGTATGTACTTCCTAACTGCAAATGTCCAAACGAAGAATGCACATTCAAGAGGGACAGCTGTGAGTTTCAGAGAATTCGGAGGTGCATTCTAGGGTGTCCGCAATTCATATGGGATGCAGGGCAGATCTGAAGAAGCTTCTAATAGTTACCCCACTGAAACTTAGAGTAGTGCCCAGAATAGGAAATGTGAACAAAGTGTTCCTTAAAGAATCTCATGAAATGTAATTGATATTCTTCTAAGAAATCATTGTTAAGGCATTGACAGGTACCAAGAGAGAAAACTTAGAAATATTAGATGTACTCATTAAATACTGCAAATATTCCAGATGGTACTATGTTGTCATTGCTACTGTTTTTAAGAAGAATTGTAAGGAATGAATGAGAAGCTTCTACCTACCTTTACCAAAAACGCCCAGGTTCACCAGGGACAAGGCGAACACCAAGACTTTAAGCCACAAAAACATGGTTACATCCAGCTGTTATGCGTATCCTTACAAAACAGCATGTGTGTCTATGTCTGGAAAGCAAAATAATGATTATCACTCGGTGTAAATGCCTTGCCAAGGTCCAAATCAAATGTAGACTAGGCTATGCACATACAATGCAGTGCGTCGTTATCATCCAAAGAGCAGCTTCCTCTGTTACCCAGAGTCTAACCACTTGCAGGCACACTTGGTAGAAAAGTGATGTCACAGGCAAGTTTACTCACTTCTCTAAAAAGTTTCTTCTTCAGTTTCCAGGAAGTCACAGAACCCATTTTTTTAAGCTGTTGCCATGCTGTGCTGACTTCCTAATCGAAAAGCAGATGCCTTCAGAGTTTCTGAGAAATTGAGAAAAGCTTCTCTTTCAGTTTCTGAAATGGATAAAATACTGGTGGCTTTGGACAAAACAAAAAACTCAATTCCAGCACATAAAGACAATAATCCAACATGTTCCATAACACTGAGAAAATAGTGGAGCAACTTGCTTGACTGACAAGGCCACACTAGATTATCTAATGCCTCTTTAAAGTGTCCAGCCTCTAAACCAGAGTAGGATAAACCCACATCATTCAAAAGTTCATGGTTTCATTGCACTTGTGTTCCCAGATGTCCATAGACTGTAACTTCCATAATCTTTGACTTCTGTCCATACTGTCTAGGGTGTGGGAGCTGTAATCCAATAACTTTTAGAGACTCAGTATTGGCAACCTCTATGATCCAACTAGGTGCAAGTGTAGCACCAAACACAGTGGGCCCATCCTAGGGTTCAAGAGAACCCCTCCTCTCCTGGTACTCATTCAAGCATTCATAGGAACCAGGGTGACTGTGTCCCTCGTGCCTCCATGATCTTCATCCAGCCCTCTTTCTCTCTTGGGCTCAAATTATTTGCATATTACAAACCAAGATACCAGGGAGGAGAGAAGATTTCAGCCATGTATATTGGATGTTTAGAAATAATAACTTTAATTTAAATGGAAATACATCTCGCCACAGAAGAAAAAACTGGCTAGGCTTTTATCACCATCTCCTGAGGAACTCCCATGGCACACGATATTGCTCCTTTGCCCTCTGTATCATGTCATTCCTTTCCTTGCATTCCAGAATTTTCACAAGGCGGCTCAAGAACTCAGAGATAATTCAGTTGCCTCCCTTCCTCCCTTGCCCATCTTCCCTGCCTCCCCCACACAACCCAGACTTTTCTCTCTGGCTTGCAAATGCCCTTCCCCTCCCCCCCTCCTCAGGAAAAATAGTCTGCGGTGTCTTCTCAAGCTTTCTTGATTATCTTCCTTGTTCTCTTGAGTTCTCAAGGGACAACTAGCGCAAACCTATGTCTACTCAGAAATAAATAATATTACCGTCATTTGCCTTACTCACAAGTGAATCACACTGACTTCCATGGAACTAACTTGTGACAAGCTCCACAGAGAAAGGAGCTGTGTTCACTTGCTTTTGGGTGGAAGGAAATGCGGTGCTGTTCTCACTGGCAAGGTGGTCCATATTTTTCCCTTTTTTAAAGAATCTCTGTTCCTGCTTATTCACCTCTGTGCAAGGTGGGGAAGTTTGCATAGGAAGTAGCTGTACTTGTTTGCTTTTGACTGGAAGAACAATGGAGGCTGCTGGTTTCACTGGTTTTACCTTGTGTGTGTTGGGAGGACAAGAGCAAGCAAGAAGGAGCAATCCAGCTCCATGATTTGGGGAGCGGGGAGAGGGGAAGAGAGGCCATCTTTTCCCCCTTTTTCACTCCTGTCCTACTTCACCCCTATGCATAGCTAACTGAGCTAAACACAAGCACCCACAAAACAGAGGAACTTTAAAAGGGCCATTTTTCCTGTACACACCTCCTCCTGGCAACCTCTCAGATGGCAAATGTCACCAGGCTAGTGAGAACAGGAATATTGGTGTGATGGGGGAAACAGCATGAAAATGTGGATATTTCATGACTAATTTTGCCATGTGCAATAAGCATAAGCAATGTGGGATGTGGCTACAGCAGCACTGTGATGAGATCCTTAGGAATGAGGTCAGGTGTAGATCTGACACAGACAATCTATGTACCTGCTCTTCTGTTTGCTGGCCAAGTGCTAATTGTTGATGGACAGCCTCAAGGCAGCTGGCTCTCCCACACTAGAGGCATTCAAAAAGAAACTGAGTGGGATGCTGTAACTTGGTGTCCTGCAACAACAGGGGGTTGGACCCAATGGTCTTCATAGCACCTCCCAACTCTATTATTCTATGATTCTTCTTAGGATTGTTAAATCTTTCCACCTAACATAGTCCTTCAAAGAAAGGTAAAGGTTTCCCCATGACATTAAAGTCCAGTCATGTCTGACTCTAGAGGGCAGTGCTCATCTCTGTTTCCTAGCAGAGGGAGCCAGCATTTGTCCGCAGACAGTTTCCGTGGTCATGTGGCTGGCATGACTAAACACCAAGGTGTAGGGAACACTGTTACCTTCCTACCAAAGTGGTACCTATTTATCTACTTGCACTTGTATGCTTTCGAACTGCAAGGTTGGCAGGAGCTGGGACGGAGCAATGGGACCTCACCCCGTTGTGCAGGTTTGAATTGTTGACCTTTCAATCAACCAGCCCAGCAGCTCAGCAGTTTAAACTGCTGTGCCACCTGCAGCCCCCAAAATGTCCCATGAGGTCCCACCAAGATATGAACTGGGATTGCTGGATTCAAAGTCCAGAGTGCTAACCATTACACCATGGGATCCAAGAAAGGGCACCATAAAGGGAAGATTCTCCATCAAGTAGGATGCCTACCCCCCACCCCACCCCACCCCACAGTCACCCTGGATGGAAGCTAATCCAAAAACTCCTTTCAGTTGCAGAGTGGGTCACATCCCACTAACGTCTTGGTAGCACCTTGTTTGGAAGCACTCTCCAACGAAATGTGTTTGGGGGGCTGGACTGGATGTTCAGCTGATAGTACAAATGGATGGACTATATTTGGAATAGACCAAAGGCTGTTTTGGGACACAGAGCTAGCAAATGCCACTTCCTCATTTCCAAGGGAATTGCACACACAAAGCAATTAGAAACATGAAGTCATCATAATAGGCACATGCTGCTTCCATGGCTAACCTGGTGATAGGGGGCATGTGGTTAAAGACTGGGGACTGCGCAAGAAGAGAACATTCCTGACGGAAAATCCAGCCACGTGGGTGTAACAGGAGGGAACACTTGGCTTGTCAACAGGAACCCGGGAGAGCAGTTCAGAGGACCAGTACTGCGTGCATCTACATGCCCTCACATTGCTCCGAAGCTTCCTCCAACCACAGCCAGGGCTGAATAGCATCACTGGGCATCTGCCAACGCCCAAATCTAAGCAGGAGGCCCCGTTGCTCACCCTATTGCACTCTTCCCCCTGCCCTGTCTCTCTGGCCAAGAGGAAGAACATTGTCAAGCAATTGAAGAAAGTGGAAGGGACAGCAGCTGCCCAGTCCTCCTCACTCAGCTGGCCTGTCGCTTCGTCATGAAGCAGATTGGGCTCCCAAGTGGAAAGGAAGGTGACTGCAGAGGACTGCGGGACAACGTGGAAGACACATTTGGTTTGAGTTGTATGGAAACTATAGATTGAATAACACCTTTATAAGGCTGCTTCTAATGTCTGGTTATGTCTTTCAGTAGCTCAGCTAAAATATAATCAAGCAATCCAATGCATTAGAATCTAGGAGGTAAATTTTTACTGCATGACTTCCAACCAGCTGCCAAAGCCAACTGTTATGAAAAAGAAAACAGGGAAAAGCAGCTTGATGTTTGACTCCTAAGACCTGCCCTACAGCCTCTGGATCACTAAAGGAGAGCTGCACCTTTCCAACTTCAGTGGAGGAGACGCCACCAATCTGCTCCTAGGTCTACTTGCAGGATTACATCTGCTGCCACAGCTTGTTTGCAAAAGCTCATTTTAGAGAATGCGGCACGAAGGAAGATCAGAAAGAAGCTGCTGGTGTGCTGAGCTGCAGGAAGCTGCCTTTTGAGAAGATGTGTGTAGGTGTTGGCGGTAAAAAAGAGGGGAGATGCATACATTTCATTTGCAAATACAAGAACTCTGCACAATGCCCAGTTTGGAACAGTGGGGCTTAAGAAAAGCAGAGACCCAGATGAGAAGAGAAAGTTTCCCACCCTGCTTGTCTACAAACAAAGCAAGCCTTTCTCTTGCAAAGGCATGTAATTTGTAATCTTTCCAGCTCAGTGACAATTCACCAGGGTGGGGAGGTTTCTGGGGAAGAAACTTTTTTTTCAGTCTCTCGGGAGAGGAGGACAGCTAACAGCAGAGGGGGTAGGCACCAGACTAGAAATCTGGGCCAGATTTGCTAACCAAGCATTATTCTTAGGCAGCCTGCAGGGACTTACCTACTGTTGACAATTTTTTAGGCTAGTTCATCACCAAAAGCTAATTTCTGACATTGTTACTGGAAGAACTGTCATGTGACCCTTTACTTCTTTCTGTTCAAACAAGGAACTTGCTTTTTTTATTTAAGGCTGGAGACAGATTGAGATGACTTCCATGATTGTGTGTTTTCCAAAATGGGGAATCATTTCTGTCTTGCAATAATTCTTAGCATAACCAGAAATCTGCCCAGCCCAATCCAACAAATTTGTATATTAGTTTGCATGTTCAGTGTAGGGGGGTGGGTTGAATGATCTTTGAAGGTACAACCCTTCTCAAGGTAGCTTACCGAATAAGAATATGAAACAGAATCACACTTATCCATTCTCTCTCAAACGAAACAGCAGCATTTATAAGTCCATAGCTTTTTCCTACATCTTAAAACCACAACAAATTCAGACTTTATGCTTTTAAACTTAAACCAACTGTTTTGAGTGTGTGTGCACATGCATTGTGTGTGTCCCTTTCTCCCGTTGCTTTTGCCTAACATGAAAAACCCTGAAAAATGCAAAACTTTCCTCATTTGATTGGTCCTGCTAAAAGTGTTACCTTGCTGTAGGTTTTGGAATCAAATCCTATTGTATTTCATGATGATTTCTCAGAAAAGATGCTTCTGGTTACTCTTTACATTGATTTCTAATCATATTATGGTGCTTATCAAAAAGAATCCTTTAAAAGACTACATGTTGAACATCATACATGTTTTTTCAGCAGTAAGTTGCACTTTCAAAGGGACTCACTCTAAAGGAAGTACGCAGAGCACTACAGCCTAAGAATGGCCAATGACCAGCTAGAGCATC